TAAAATATAATTTACATATTTAAAAATATTTATGTATACTTATTTTAAATATAATTTATATATTCAAATATAATAATTTTATATATAATTTATTATAAATTTTAATCATATTATATATAATAAAAATTTATGTGCATTGTATAAGCTAAAATACTAATTAGATAAAAAAAAAGTTCAAAGAATCTCTAAAAAAAAAAACTTTTCATTAATTTTTTTTTAAAATACTCTAGTACAAGATATTTATGTTTAATATATAAGATATGTATATAATTAGATTTTATATTTATGTTATATAATTTATATTGTGACAAAAAATTATTTTTTATTATTGATAATTTATATATAAATTTTTAATTTATAAATAAATATGATTAATAAATTTTAAAAATCCTCTCATTAATAAGAAGTTCTTAAAAATGTGTTCTCTCACACAAGATAGTAGTTTTAATATATAAGAATTTATTTCTTTTAAATTATTAAAATTTAATTTATAAATAAATATGATAATAAAAATTGAAATAGATAAGAGGTAAGAAAAAAATCCTTAAAAACTTTTTCATTAGAGAGAAGTCATAAAATCAATTTCACTAAAGAAAGATGTTGTGTAAATATGATAATAAAAATTGAAATAGATAAGGTAAGAAAAAATCCTTATTGCAATGAGGATTGAACCTAGATTTTCATGCTTTTAACTATCTCAATCCCTCTCCACCTAACCACTAGGCTAATTCTTGTGATTAAGATGTTGTGTTTAATATAGAAGGATTAATAAAAGAATTTTTGAAAATCTTCTTGTTGCTAAAAATTCTCTCACCCAAAATAATTGTTCATATTTAATAAATAAGGATAAATATAAATTAGATTTTATATTTATGTTATATAATTTATATTTTGACACAAAAGTATTTTTAATTTTTGGAAATTTATTTTAAAAAGTAATTTAAAAATAAATATGATAAATAAAATTTGAATAAAAGTTAGAAAAAAAACCTTTAAAAACTCTCTTGTTAGATAGAAGTCCTTAAAATGTTTGTCTCTTGTACAAGATAGTCATGTTCAATATATAAAAGTTTATTTATTTTAAATTATTAAAATTTAATTTAAAATAAAAATAATAAATAAATTTTGAAATAAATTAGAGGTTGAAAAAGTTCCTAAAAAATCTCTTGTCAAAGGTTAGAAAAAAGTATTGAATGCAATCAAAATACAAACAAAAAAGTCTCATAAACATGATTAAAAAAATACATAAAAATAAGTCCAAAAATCTACTTTCATATTATTTTCCAGTTGTTTGTGGAATATCTTTTACATGATTTTCACTATATTTATATTTCTTTTGAATTCAAACATCAATTAAATTTTAATATTTTTATAAAAGTGAATATAATGTTACATGTTTCATATCTTAAATCAAACAAAAATTGATTTAAAATCGTGTCACAAAATTTAAAATGATCGTTGTTTTAAAAGATAAGAGATCAAAATAATATTTTAACAAATAAAGGACTAAAATGAATATAAAAAGTAAGATAAAAGATTAAAAGTATAATTTAGCATAAAAAATTATATTAAAAATATAATATGTTCATAATTATCTATTAAGCATAGAATAATAAATTTGATCAAAGATATTTTTAATAAAAACAAAATTGAAGAACAAGAATGGACTCAAATTAAATGTTGTATTGTTTAGAACCTTTTGTAGGAGTTATAGCTCTTATTGAAAGATGTGGTGATTGTTAAATTTTTAGGGACAAATATTGGTTATCCCACAATTTGCAATCACTTGAAGGTTATTTAGAAATTTTTCAAGGGTTAGATATAGTGGTATGGACATTGGTAATGTTTATTATATGTTTATGTTTAACGTTATGGGGAATAAAGAAAAGGTCATTGGTGGTAATGCGTCAATGATTTTTGATCATTACTTGACTATGATGTCTTTGACACTAGACTTTATGGCATCAAAGATAAAGAGTTATTGTACGCTAACCTAGATTAGGTTCTCTTGTTTGGGCATGAATGTAACATAAGGTAAGTTTGTTTTGGTTTACATGGGAAATCGAGTGAATCAATTCATTGTTAAAGGGTTTTGGTCTAACAACCATTGGTTCAATGTGAAATACAAAAGGTCACACTAATTTGCAAGGATTGAGGTTTGTGCGACCATCATGCCAATGTGTGTTCGACTAAGAAAATGAAGACATTACTTTCTCAAGCTAACAGTGGTGGTTGAGATGCATGAATTGTAAAGGTGGGTGAATCAAACAAATATCGTAATTGTCCATGTTGATAGCATGAATTATGGTCAAAATGGTCTTCATAAAGATTTATTGTAGTAAACATTAAAAAGGTAAGTGCATTAATAAGCTTTTTAGCTAATTTAATGGAATGTTAAAAGACAAAAGGGAGAAAATGCAATATTTATGTAAGTTGGGAAGGATAAATTTATTATCCTTAATGATATGGATTCAAAAAACAATAAAGTGATCTCAACTAAGGAAAATGAAAATGTTACATTTACTCCATGCACGATTAAATTTAAGAAGATATGGAAGAGAGAGAAAGAGAAAGAAAGGGAGAGATAGAGAAATAAGTGATATCATGGAGATAACTCAATAAGGAAGGTAGTTGACATCAATAACTACCTAGACTAGAGGTGTGGGTCATTGAATTTTGGTCCCCTAACTTCCAAATGTAACAAAATTAGTGTCATCAAGAAGTAAAGAAAATGATGAACAATGTCCCAACAACTAAGAACAGATTGTTGACATGAAACCCTAAAACATAATAGACATACCACTATGAAAATGGAGGTGTTCGATCCAAATTGGCAATGTTTACTAGATGAACCCAAACTTGACCCAAAACCAAAATATGGATGAAAATAAGTGAAATAATGATGACTTTTTAGGTGCTTCAAAATGTGAAGTAGTGGACATGGTGGAATAAACTCTTAAAATGTTGAGTTTAAGGCCAATGAGGCCATTTTCCTTTCCAATATAAGTTAATAACATTGTCATTTATAGATTTTCTATTTTCACTTAGAATATTATAGGCTTTGCAAGCAAGAGAAATCACCAACATTTGTGGGAATTATTGTAGTAATATAAATTAGTCATTCTCTTAAACATATATGTGTTTTTATGGTTCTTAGAGATTTTGTTATAAGGAAACTTATTCTTTAATAGATGTTAAGGAAGTATTAAGTCAAAAAACAATCTTGGATTCCTTAAGTTTTTGAATTTTAATGTTAACAAATGAAATATTTTTACAAGAGAAAATATCTTCGAAAATGCTTATTAGACGAAGTGTAAGACGTAGATCGTCTATAAGACAATGTGAATCAGACAAAGCATACAGTCTGTCTCATATACATTAAATATTAATTATTTATTGAAACTAACGACAAAATTCATTTGAATGTTTTATTCCTTAACAGATCAAACTAGAAAATCATATTGGAACTCACAAATTTGTTAAAGATCACAAGATCATGCTTTCTATCATAATCAAGGATGAAGATCCTATAATCATAGAGAAAATATAGATAAAGGTATTGTCGTTGCTGCTTTACATTGACATTGCTTCTACAAGCTCTGTTTGATATGGAAAGATGATAAGTAACTTCTTTGATCAAATAAAAGGTGTCATTTGGTGAAATGCATTTGATGCTTAATGCTTTCATTAAATGAGTCAATGGTTACCCCCCATCATAAGGAAAGAAGTTGTCCCTCATTCCATGAATTCGTTGTTACTAATTCATTCAAGGATTGAAAGCTTTTTGTTTTATGAAAAGGCATAAACACCCTCTTCTTTGTCTTATTATTGTTGGTCTTCATCAATGATGAAAGTCACTAAACTTAAGACTCAAGTTGAGAAAGAGGGTTAGGCGTCCAAGGGATAGGATCCTAGGCTTTTTATATTGTTATTTGGTCTATTCGAGAAGAAATAAAATAAATAAAAAGATAGATGAAGCAAACTTATGAGATGGGCTCAAAGTGTTGCAACAATCATTTCCTCTAAAGCTATTATATAAGAAGATTTAAGGCTTAAGAAAGAAGAGAGACACATGTACAAAGAAACACACTCTATAAATTATACTTGTGTATAAACCTTATTCTTTCTTGTAAAAGGCTTAGTACAATATATTGGTTGTATAACGTCTAAGTGAGACAAAAACAACATTTGTGTAACTCTTATAACCATTGTTA